GAGCCAAAGGTATGCCTGATATATTGCGTTTTTGCTTAATCACTCAATCGGAACGGACGTGCACTGACTTTCACAGCTTTCGTCCAAGCAAACCCGCCCGAATCCGTCCAAACCGACATCTCTCTTTCGCAATTCCTGGCTATTCAAGAAAAGGGTGTATCTGCCTGGGAATTTGAGCCCGAACTCGAGATTGCAAACTGCTTTGTAGAAGGCCGTACTGAAATCGAGTTTTTCGATTCCGAATGCAGCGTTCAGAGCAACCTACCGATACCCAAGCAAAACGAAGTCTATTACTGGGAGGCCAAGGTTTACGAAAAGCCCGAGAGCACAAGCATAGCGATTGGCGTGACAACTAAGCCATATCCATTGTTCAGGCTCCCAGGTGCGTCTGCCAATGTACCCCATCCTTTGATCTGCATTCTAACTCCTCTTAGGTTACCATAAGTCGTCAATATCATACATGTCCAATGGAAACCGCCGATACAACCAGCCCTTCCAACCATCTGCATACGGTCCTGCCTACGTTCAAGGAGATGTCATTGGTGTTGGATACCGACCTCGAACCGGAACAGTTTTCTTCACGCGCAACGGTAAAAGGCTTGATGACGTCGCACACGGCCTCAAGACCCAGAACTTCTTCCCCACAGTCGGCGCAAATGGTCCATGCCACGTCCATGTCAACTTTGGCCAGATGGGCTTCGTATTCATTGAGGCCAATGTTAAGAAGTGGGGTTTAGCACCACAAACCGGAAGCTTGGCCCCACCACCACCATATGGTAGCGAACAAGGATCCATACTGCTAGACTCTGGGCGGGAAGGTGTCAGAGAAGGAATGGCTGGCAGCTATATTCAAGCAGGCTACGCACATGCACGGTCTAGTAGCCAGCAGATGCGTCTTGGAAGACAGGTGCCCACGAGCCCAGGCCCCCAACGTAGTCCGACAGACATATCCCTCGCGGCACTCAGCCTCGTAGACTCGAATGATGATCCCGGCGAAGGTACCAGCGAGGACTATCGAAGGACAATCCCAGCCAACCAAGGCCTGACTCTTCTGCAACCCGGCGAGCTTCCTCCCGAATACACCAGTCCTGTCGGCTCTCCCAGCCTGCGAAACACGGCTAGCCATCAAAATGGTTATTGGGACGAGCGAGCACCATTCCTACAGAACCAGCAACAGCCGAGGGAAACTAGCCCGCCTGTCCCTAGCTATGACGCCGCTATGGCCGATGCACCAGAGATACGGCCACCCACAATCAGAGTACGCAGCGCGACTGAAGCTGGCGTTCGACCCCGACCTCGGGCACTTCGTTGATGGATAACTGTGAAGCATCAGCAATCTTTTTTCTTTTGTTATCTCGTACCGTGAAGATGCCTTATCCGCACTCCTCCCTGTTACAACTATACCCTATCATTCACTTTTCCTTTTTGTCAGGAGCAACAGTCAGCCAAGCGATGAATGCGCGGCGACGACGACGGCTGTATATTTGAGCTTCCAATGGATGCATACAGCAAAGCAAACCCAATCTGTTGAGTCAACTGGTCTTTGGGGTTTGAAACCAAGGGCGTTGTGTCTATCTTCTTTGTCCCTGGATTTCGGCGTCTGTTGTATTTTCCTTGTTCTTTTGTCTTTCGAGCGAGCATTGCTACATATCCCCTGGGGCTTTATGAGGGGGGAGTACACGGATGTGACACGCGGGTGGAAAGGCTGTGTCCATGTTGCAATTGGCGTTGTTGTACGGGACTAGACTGTGGAATTTTTGCGTGTATTTGAGCCGCTATTGGATTGTAGCCTTCGGCCAGGTCGCGCAGTTTTGATTCCAGCTTGATTGAGTTTATAGCTGTACATGACGATGTTACTATCGAAATTGCACAAATTCCTCTCTTGGTCTCCACCTCATCTATTCTCATCTGATTTGTTTTTTTTCTTCTCGTCGCAGCAACAATATGAAGGATCATTCCAAAGCTTTGGCGGCTCCAGCTTTTCTTTGGCTACACGGTCCAATGCCCATAAAAGCGCTCAAACCCTGACTACAAAACATATCGAAAGTAAGGATTCTCTTTGTCAGTCAAGTCCATAAATGCCAGCTTATCACGCTCTGCTTCGTCAATAGGGATACTAACTCTCTTCTTGTTTTCGCGCTGAAGGACAAGATAGAGCACTACAGCTGCAACGATTGTGATGCAGTAACTACGTATCTCATTAGTTTCAAAAAGAGAAGCAGGTAACGACTAGTATACATACCAAATAATCAAGCCCGTCCACAGCTTTGGGTAATGTGCTGGCTTTTCTCGGCTATCAATCAACTGCGGTCCAACAATATTCCCCACACAATACGCGACAAAGATGGCGGCTGCCATGGCGCTCTTTTTAGTTGCTCCAGCCACGTTAGACATGCCAATAACAATGGTCTGGCTGACGACAGCGCCAAAAGTGCCAATGATGGAGTATCCTGCGACAGGGGTGGCGGCATGGTAGGTCCATTCTGCTCTCCAAATCATAGCACAGCCAGCGATGACAGGGAGGCAGTTTACAACGAGTAAAATGAGGCGGATATTTGGGATCCGTGAACTGAGGTAACCGCACAGCAAGATGGTAATGAGGCACAACCCGCCGAGGGGAAATTGCCAGAGGATCGATTCGAGTGTCGACCAGCCGAATGTACTGACAATCAGCGGACCAAACCCAGACACTGCACCGTTAACCGTGTACGCCGAAGCCATAAGGATAAATACGAGCCAAATTTTGATATCCAGTGCTGCTTCTTTGAGCTGACCAGGTTTGATCTTCTGGCAACGCACACCAGTCGCGCCTTTGCGCAGACGCTCAACAGCTACAACACGCTCTGCAGGCGAGAGAAACCATGCCGAAGCACACGAGTTGGGAATTAAAAAGCACCAGATACCGAAGAGGAAAGTCAAACAGCCCGCTAAAAGGTAGATGTACTGCCAGCGTTTCAAGTCCCCAGCAGTAATTTGTGCAAAGCCATAGTTGAGTGCACCTCCGATGATCGTAAAGAGGCCTGTAGAACTAAACCACCAGCTCTGTCGTATAGCCTGTTCCTGTTGCGTATAGTAGCTAGATACTATCGTCATGAAACCAGTTGGTATGATACTCTCAACGAAACCGAGAAAGAAGCGCTGCGCATAAAGCCCTTTGTACGTGGTGACGGCTGCGGTAAGCATACAGACCAGAGCCCAGAGCATAACGACGCCACCCAGTATGCGGCCGAGATTGAAGCGCTGTAGAGCAAAAGTCATGGGGTAAAGACCTGCTAGCATGCCAAAGTAGAACAGGGATGTCGCCCATGACAGACGGGATGTGTTTGTCGTAGGTGGCCTCGTGCTGGTGTCTGTGATGCTGAGTGAGAGGTCCTTTGTCATGCCGAAGAGGACTGCGGAGCCCAAGATGGCTTTGTCGTAGTACACCAGTCCATATCCTAGGCTTTGAGTTAATCAGACGATCCAAACGGCTCGTAGGTTACCGGCTGTGAGAAATACCGACAATCATAGCGGGTATTAAGAACCAGTCTACTTTTTTCAAGACTCTAGCCTCAATGTCTGGGTCGATTTCCTGCGCATGTTCCCCTACAAGGCCAATTGCTAAGTCTTTCTCATGCGATACCGTCGCGTTTGCGCCTAACTCTGCGTCTTGGCCAGTTGCCGGAGGCCCGCCTATGTGCTCCGCGGCTGCATTGTGAGTATGAGCCGTCATCCTTGACGAGCAGCTGGGAGACCAGAATTTCCAAACAGACTTTTAGGGAGGAGTAGAATCCAAGGTGGAAAAGATGGAAATCAGCTTCGCAAATTCTTATGTGTCACTCGATTATACACACGGCTTGAACATGCACGGGATGCCAACTCGAAGCTAGCGCCATATCAACCATGCCAAACCTATCGCAAGCGATGTCGCAATCCGAGCAGCAAATCCAGAGCTTAGTACCCTCGTTCAAGCGAACTTGGGAAGCACGGTTATCCATACAGTCATGTCATTGGTGCAATGGCTAAATATGCCGCGTGAAGTGGCTGGTATCGAGGAAGCATAGCAGAGGGGGAGGAAGAAGCTAGTGCCAAACTAGGTATAGCACAGATCGTGACATAATCATGAAGAAAAACCTTTCGGTGCGAAACAGCTCCGCCCTCCTACCAATCAACCTTCTAGCTACAAGGCACCCTCACCATCGGCCGTGGGGTGTCTTTGCACACGCATCGCAACGCGCCTACTGTCTTTCAACCCATCATTCATCGAATTTATGAATATGAAAGAAAGAAGGCTCTCGATGCGCAAAGCCTTGTAGTACCCAAATCCCAGTCTCTTGCCTCGCTCAATCCGCTGTTCCATTTGGCGGATTTCGAGCTGGATACATACATGTTCACTCTCTCTCTCTATCTTTCTTCGAAAATAGAGACGTGTCATGTGCGTACGAGACAAGACTAAATGCGACGATTTTTGAGTACGGAACCGCCTGATTCCATGTGTCGGACCTCCGTAATTTATCTGTCGGGACATACGCTTTGTAAAAAAAAAAAAAGAATGCAAAATTTCAATGCCTGTGGGCGACGTGAATCGCAACCAAAACGCAACATCACTGAGGATTCGCCGAAGAGACGATAAGAGAGCAAATTCAGAGAACCCAGATCATTTGGATTTTTGACTACAAGGGTGGTACAAAGTGAGTGCAGAGCCGAAAAGAGATGGGATGAAGGAAGATTCAGATTGGATTATAACTAGGTAGCTTACGACGAAGCAATACTTAAAGCTCCTGACCTATAGACCAACATCATGGCTGCGATGAATACCAATGATAGTAGGCACTCGTGGTAGACGGATGTTATCGTGAAAGAGGGCAGCGTGCGTTCATGTTTCTTGGGAGGATCAGGTTCGACTGGGTTGAATGTCACTAGGTTGACTAGGTTTAGAGAAGCAGACTCGTAGTAAAAGAAAATAGGTTTCAACGGCTTCCTTATAGGCAAGGGTAGGTGTGGGCAACACGAGCTTAAATCTACAAGCTTTCAAGCCTACAGTGGCCGTGGTTAAAGGGGTAGTTATCCGGAATGGAGATTTTGATGTATGTAGTAAGTAGAACAATAGACGCCGCTGGCGAGAGGTGTATGCGTTCCGAACTGGTATTGTTGAGGTATAGAGCATGGTCATTGGAGTCAAAATAAAGGGCAAAATGATCCTTAGCAACCCCATCTAGATGTGGTAATTGGTAATCACTAGCTCGTGAGGCACCGAATGTAAAGGAGCGGCGTCCTGCGATAGCATCGAAGGACAGTCCAATAATGCGGCGTCTGATAGCTGGTGTGACATCAATATCATTGTGTCCGATGATATACGGAAGGTTTCGCCAAACTGTTGTCGTAGCGGCTGCAATTTTTGATAGTAGGATAAGAAGAGCGAATGCTTGCCTAAGAGAATATGCTGAAGCCATGTTGACGATGAAGAAGTGCTAGAGCAAGTTTATATAGCGTACTAAAACATATGTCGCGAATATATGACACAGTTTAACAGCTGAAAAAAATACAAGAGGGCTCAGACAAAGTTTCTTCGGCTCTATCTACCGCTATGAAGCCCTTTTAGTCGCGTTCAGGTGAAGTGCGCGCTAAACGGATACCTATACGAGGAGGCGCCACTGATGGGCTCGTGCTAATTGCTATGCCGACCTCTGGGTGTGTAGGGCGCGGGGGCAAGTCTAAAAGATCACCCAAAGTCAGACTAGCTGGACTATGGCAAACGTTGAGGATAGCCTTATATAAGCTTTCAAGGGAGCCATGACGAAATCTTTTAAATTAGAGTCCTTGCGGGTTCTATAGCTGCTTATCCCACAGATAAGAGGCCTAGGCTAACCTTAGCTCTATATCTCAGCCTTTTCTCCAGCGTAGTAGCGGACTAATTATTGGTGCTATGTCGGCCATACTACCAAGATAAAGTGAGTTTGTCCGTAGCATAATAAATAACGTATAAGGTGTTATAAAAAACGGATAACGGGCATCCGAAGAGGCTTGAATGCAATACACGGGGATTGGATACAGCGGAGAGTTAAGTTAAAAATCACAGGAGAGATATCGTAATTAATGCCCAACTAGCCATCCCAGATCTTCGAATAGTGATGGAGCCTTCTGACAACCCCGTTGAACTCAAACTACTTAGTCCGACATAGTATGTGCAACAAATACAAGTAGGATGCCCCTCTTAGCAACACTCACACTTGCTACTAGCGAAACGGGAACCAAACCAGAAGATTAGTATAGTTCTTGGTCATTACTGGTCCACTTGTGTTCGATGATAACTGCGTCTGCGGTGCGATGGTTGCATAAGAGTATGCAGACGTATCGGCGTAGTTTACAGCACTATTGATTGATTTTAACTCCAAAATCTAGGCCCATTTGAGCTGCATCGACAGTGGCGTGGTGTTTGCTAACGTTGTCTCCACAGGATGCTCTGGCCTTGTTCTGAGAATGGAATTCGAATGTGTCATCGTAAAGCCCAACATCACTCCACTTCTGGTCAAGTCTCGCCTTGGCGATGGGCCCATTAGCCCTAATTATTTTGGCGAAGATGCTTTCGCTCCCCATTTCCGACAGTTTGATCTCGTGAGGTTCCGTTCCAGCAGCGCTAGTGTTGTCTCTTCCAGAGCGGGTATAAATAACCAAATCTTCCTCTACTTGCTTCAAGAGGAAATGCCCGTTGAGCTTGTGATCACGATACTCATCGGGTAACCAGAGCAGTCTTTCAGCTCGGTCTATGGACATGAATTTGTGCTCGATATGGTACGATTGGTCTTCTTCCTCGTCGTAGAGGAGCATGTCGCATACTAGTGGGGCAAGTGGGTTGAATTCCAGACGCATACCAGGTATGCCCTTGATAAATGCTCGTAAACGCTCTATGATATCCAAAGAAGCCTCGTGGTTCGAGTCCTGAACAGCAAGCAAGCTATAGGCCGTCTGATCTGGACCTGGTATATCCCAGCCGTGGTATTCGACTCCGTTGGTAGGATTGACATAGACGGTCTTTCGGAGCGAAGCTCCAACGATTCGTATGAGAGCCTCGTAGAGATAAGTCTCGCTCACTGCATATAGTGCCAAAACATCACTGAATACGAGCTCCTCTGTGGAAGACAGTTGAGACCGGACATATATCATTGCATTTTCCATAGTCCGTTTCAATGTCCTGTAGATTCCACGCCAACTACGCATGGGTACAATGCAAATATATTGCGAAAATGTACAGACTATGACTAAATAGAATTGTACCCATTGATTGGCCCTAGGGGGCTACTGCCAGCCTTGGAGTCGAATCGAAAGATTTGTAGCGGCTTGGAGGTTTGGTCGTCTCGTTTTTTCGCAACCATTCCAATGCAGCTGTTAGATCATTGAAAGGGAAATCGCTTGGTGGATTTACGATCAGCCCACCATCCACATTGCCATATTTAGGGCCTGTGCCTTTAGTTATAGTTAGTAGTGGAGATATTATATAACTATTAAAAATAATAGGTAGTTAACTAGTTAGATAGTTAATAGTTGTATATTAGCTAAACTATTGCACGCACTAACTATATCTAGTAACATCTTAGCATAGCTGTGACCAATAATAGTAGGAGTTCTTGGGACTAACCTTATCACAGCTCTTCATGCGCCGCACACCATTAAACCAATTGCAGTAGTTATGCAGTTAAATTTGTAATAACAAGGTGAGGGTATGGGGCCAGCCCCCGAGCAAAAATGATGCAAATGACATGTTCTACTGAATTGTAAATGCATGTTAGTACAACCAGTCGTGTCGGGACCCAAAAATAAGTGCTCCCATCCAGAGTCGAACTAGAGATCTTCGCATTGCAAGATGGTACAAGTGCGACGCGTTACCACTGCGCCATAGGAGCAACTTAAATCTAGTAATATAGATAAAAAATTTTCAAAATTGAAAATATATAATAGGCGTCGTACTCAACTTAGCCCCACCGTTAAATCGCACATCCTCTACGAGCTTCTTATCACTGTTTCCACGAGGCGACAAGGGTGTGTCCCACCACGAACGGGTGCTTCCTAGCTAAGTGATTATGAATAAAAAATAGATTGACTTATCGTTTCTAGATTGCTACAACTACTCTTCATTGTGAAAACCTGCCCTTGCTGCCCTACAAGTTTCCTAGAGCCCATTTAAAGGTAAGAGCAAACACATTCTTTCGCATTCTTTCACATTCGTGCACAGTTTCAAGCATGCCATATAAACACGTTCACGCCAGCTTCCACATATGTCCATGTCGTCACTATCCTTCAACCCTCCTTCCTACGACCAATATTCAAATTCGACCTAGATTCTTTATCCCCTAGAATGTCGAACAAGGGTAAACACTATAAGACACGCTCAGCTCCTGAGTGTCCCGAGCCAACTATGCAGGGTCAGGACGATATAATCTCCTTGCATACCATCGCGACCGACTATACACAAACCCAACTATCATGTTTACCAGCGGCTTCAGATACATTATCTAAGACTAAACATTCTAACCTACTTGGCTCGTATATGCCTCTCTTCGTCTTAGAAAGCCAAGAATAGCTATTGCTTTATGAGCTCATACGGCGCTCTTAGCCAGAACGTATACTCACAGAACTCACCCGCTATATTTAGGCTGGTAGACAACTTACATGGTTCCGACAAGTTGTACCAGAGCTAAGACCGGGTGTCGAAAGTGACGCTAAATGGTTGCCGGCCGCTCACGAGATGCTGTGGGACGAATATCTAAGAATGCGACACCAAGAATACTGCGAAAAGATAAATAAACTAAACTAGCAGATTACATGCTTACCTTCAGATAAGTATGGACTGAGACGAAACTGGTCATTTATTATTACGATTTTGCAACCGGCAAGCTATAGAATGGCTGTTGCACTGGATGAAGCCTCTTGTCTACTCGGAAGGAGTGACTGTCTATTGTTGACCCCTGACGGAGAGTGGGCTCGGGCCCGAACTAGCAATACTAAATCGCTTTAGACCTACGTCGTTGTTCTACAAGCTCTACAGGACAAGATTCTTAGTCTAGTTATCGATGATTTAGCTTAAAAGCTTGAGTGTTTTAACGCTAAAGTTATCGAGAACGCAAGACACTATCTTGATATAGCACTTGATGGGGACAATAATGAACTTGACTAGTGGATGTACAACTTGAAGGTAGCGCTACAAAATTTGCGGGTAGTTGTGATCATTGAGAAGGGCGAGCATGATCGTGGTAAAGACAAGAGTAGGGTGGGGTTAGGGAGTGGGTAGAAGCACGATTTGAGAAAGAGAAAACGTCAATTTACTACACGATGAGCTACGAGAAGGCCAACCTAGGCTACTTAGAAATTAAAAGCTAAGAAGCAGAGTGAAGTAGGATCCTGACCGAATGCGCTAGACGGAAATGTGAAAATGGTTGAGATGATACTTATACATCTACGTATACTATGAAAAAGTAGGCTATTTATGCGTAGCACTTTCTAGATAAAACAAATACCCTAGCAATAGTAACGGTATAAATCTTTTTGTATGGCACAAAATGTGTTATCTTTACGATAAGTTGATGTGCTTGATAACCTAGCGTTTTTGCTTTATTGGCGCATGGCTCTACAACTATCGCGGGGCTTTTTGCTACCTTGACATATAAATAGAATCTAAACTCGTATTTACTACTTTAATTGTTAGTTGCACTATAACAATATCTGTTGCTATTTACATATCCCTTGCCTTGGTTATTGACAAGACGATTTAGTAACGGCTTAGATTCGCATGAAATGTTTTTAAATTCCTAGATAGTTATAACTAGAGAAGTTTCTTCTTAGTGAGCTTGATTATATTGGAATTATCCCGAGTAAAAACAAGCAGCGCTTGCCTTTGATCGTGTATGCCCAGTAAAGAGGTTAGTATATGTAGAGCATGTCACTAATGAGACAACTAAGCTTATTCAACCCTGTTTGATTTCAATTTGTTATGATCCATCCAATCTGTAACACTTTCACTAGCCTACTTCTTTCACATTATAGTGAAACTCGCCCTAGAGAGCGTTTTTGCTTTTCAGAACTGATCTAAATTGACTCAGGCCTAGTAGCTCACTTTTCACGAACTATTCACTTTGTACCACCATCTCGGGAACTGCTGATCTTCGCATGGCTGTACATGGTACAAGTGCGACGCGTTAACACTGCGCCAACCCAGCATGGTGATTTTGTGAACACAGCGACTTCACAAAATTAACGTCTTAATAGTCTCAGAAATTTGGTACCTAAAATTTGCAAACTAGCAAAAGCTTGGGTGGCTCGTTTGCATCCTGTCTTCTAGCTGCATTATGACCCCATCCAATCTCAATCCGATAAAAACGTAGATGTCTTCCCGTTGAAATACAAGTAGGGCACATCTCATCCTCATAGCACTACACATTCTCAAACTCATTGAAACCCCCAATATACTGTATTGTCGGGCAATCCATAAGTTCAATTGATCACACATTACTGTAATCACAAGGTATATGCATCTGTCGGGAAAACAGACTTGTTGCATAATCCTCTGGGAACAAGTCCTTAAAATGGACTTCCTTGCCACAAAGACGGAGTGGGAAAAGTGAAGCATTTCGTTACCCTTGGTATTTGCACAGAAGATGACATCGGTACATGCTTTGGTGGGGACGTTGTGTATCTGTGGCTATTTGCAACTATTGGATTGGATGTGGCGTTCGTTGGAATTCAAAACCTAAGTCTATTCGTATTGAAAGCAGGCGAGTGTTTGAGAGCATTACAATCCGTTGATAATGCCTGCAATACGAGACGTTCTCCATTGCCAGTTGTGTATATTGCGTTCTGTTTAATGCAGGCGGTCCAAACTTCAGTACAGCCAGTTTGAACCTCCGGACCATGGTAGAGGCGACGACGACCCATGACGAAATCAAAAAACATTTTTCATTTTAGAGTGCAAATCTACTTCTCAAACTAGAAACTAGGGCTGGATCAGCCCGACATTTTTATTTGGGCGAATCGATAACCTAGGTTGTCAATACCTTGCGTGACAAGAGTCGGGGATTAGCCTCACCTTTGGGTTCTGTAGTACGTAGTTGGTGGGCTGAAGCTACGACCACCTCGATGTACATCATCGCCGCGAAGAACAGGCAACGTATAAACTTACGCTTTCACCCACTATACACCCCACCACATCACATCACAGTCCTTTCAGATTTCGCACCCCGTGTACTCGGAATTTGTCTCCCATATCCCACAAGCGCGAGTTTTGAACCAAGCCTTGGACTAGTTTAGAAGGTCGCCGACGCCAGGATGGCGGATACCGGCGTGGACATCGGATCACTCTCGCCAGACCAACAAGCTGCACTTCAGCAATACACTGCTGTCACAGATCAAGCAGTCGAAGCCGCGATACCACTCCTCCAGCGAGCGCAGTGGAACGTCAACATTGCCGTCACGCGCTTCTTCGATGGCGAACCTACCGAAGATCCCGTTGCCGTCGCCGCCGCACAACAACCCCCACGAGATACCCGGCGGCAAGAAACACTGTTGAATGGCTTCGGAGCGCCTCGGTCGTCAACAAGTAGTGGAAGGAGACCAATGATAGAGCCAGCACCAAGGGTCGTCCCGCAACCAGAAAGCCAGGTCACCACTCAAGTTCCACTGGTCCTCGCAATCTTTTTCGCGCCCTTCTCGCTCGTGTACTCTTTATTCTCAAAGAGTTTCCGGTTACTAGGATGGATATTTCCTTTCCTACCTCGTGTATGGGGAAGGCTTACAGCCAGTAATATCAACACGCCTGCGTCGCAACGCAGCACAAGCGGGCGCCGGCCCTTGAACCCACGAGACACGGCTGCCCGATTTATCCGCGAATTCGAGGAGGAATATGGAAGCCACAACCTGCCGTTCTTTGAGAGCGGATATGCTCAAGCCTTCGACCTGGCAAAGAAGAACCTCCAATTCCTCATGGTCGTACTCATCAGCCCGGAGCACGACGAGACATCCTCCTTCATTCGCGATACGCTTCTTGCGCCTGAAGTCGTCGAGTTTGTACGAAATCCCGATAACAACATAATTCTCTGGGCAGGCAATGTCCAGGATTCCGAAGCATACCAAGTCTCCGCTGCGCTCTCATGCACAAAGTTCCCATTTACGGGATTGATTGTACACACACCACAGGTATCTTCGACCGCCATGGGCATCGCTACCCGGGTCACAGGGCCCACGCCCCCTCAGCAATACGTTGCCAAGCTGCGCACTGCAATGCAGCAGCATACCGAGCCACTGAACCGCGTGCGCAGCCAACGCGCAGAACAGCAGGCCACGCGCAGTATCAGAGAGCAGCAGAATAGCGCATACGAGCGTTCGCTTGCCGCTGACCGCGAAAAAGCGCGCAAAAAGAAGGAGGAGGCAGAGCGCAAAGCAAGAGAAGAAAAGGAAGCCCTCGAGCGCGAACAAGCCATTGAGCGCTACGCCCAGAACCTCGAGCAATGGCGCAAGTGGCGCGCAGCTTCCATACCTCCCGAACCCGATACCAGCGAAACTAATGTGGTGAGAATCAGTCTGCGCATGCCTGATGCTCAACGTGTAGTGCGCAAGTTTGCAGCAGATGCGGATATTGAGGAACTCTATGCTTTCGTGGAATGCTATGACATCTTGCAGTCTGGAAACGAAGCTGGAGAAAAGGTTGAAGAGCCAAAGGATTTCGAGCATGAGTACAAGTTCCAGCTTGTGTCGCCCATGCCGAGAGAAGTTTACGATTTGAAGGCTGGGGGCTCGATCAAGCAGCGCATTGGGCGGAGTGGTAATCTCATCGTTGAGCGTACAGACCTGGAAGAAGAAGATGACGATGACAACGAGGAATAGGACGCCTAATGTATCCAACGAGGCATGGTGT